CAATAAAGCGAATTTCACACGCATTTTTTGGTTTCCCAACACATATAAAAGTTATGTTTACACGATACTGTAGTCTATTAAGTGTGCAATAGCATTATGTATAAAAAACAATGTATGTACCATAATTAAAAAATACTTTATTGCTAAAAATGCTAAGCACCATCTGAGCCTTCAGCGAGTCATAATCTTTCTGCTGACGGAGGGTCCTGCCTCGATGCTGATGCTGCTGACTGATCAGGGTGGTGGCTGCTGAAGGCTGGGGCGGCCGAGACAATTTCTTATAAGACAGTGATGAAGTTCATCACACCGATCGACTCTGCGTTTCACTTAAACACTTAGAGGCCATTTTAAGGCTAGTAACTGGCCTAATTTCAATATCACTGTGTTTCAGGGAGGCCTGAGGAGAGGGAGACAGGGGAAGGGCTGGTCATTGGAGCAGTCAGAACACAGACATTTATTGTTTACCATCATATATGAGCGCAGTTCATGCCCCCAAACACAAGAGTAACACCAAAGATCACTGATCGCCATAACAAATATAATAATGAAAAAGTTTGAAATAGTGCAAGAATTACCAAAATTTGACACACAGACATGAAGTGAACAAATGCTGTAGGAAAAATGGCGCTGATAGACTTGCTCAAGGCAAGGTTGCCACAAACCTTCAATCTGTAAAAGACAATGTCTGCGATGCACAATAAAGTGAAGGTCAGCCTAAGTAAATACATAAGTAAATAAATCAGAACTATTTTGAAAGTCTAAAGTAGCTGAAGTAAGTAAAAGTCCTGCATTTCTGGGAAGCTATGTTTTCCGAACTCTTGAAAGGTAAAGGGAGAGCAAGATAAAGACCAAGTAGGTTAACTAACTGTACTAGTTTCCTAGGATTGCCCTGGTTTTAGGTGCAGAATGTCTCCTGTCCTGGGAAACCCCTCAGTCTTGTGCACGCTGGGACATTTGGTCACCCTAAAATAAAGACTTACGTTGTGGTTGATGAAATTAAAATTCAGTGGAAAGGGTACTTATATATTATTTTCCAAATTATATATCTTTAATATAAATGGAGTAATATAAATAAAAACAGAAAAAGCATAATGACTAAATACTCTAAGAAACTATCCATATACAGGCAAATCCTGGACAGTTTGTCCATGCAGTTATAGAGGTTCATTTGGTAGCACTTATTCTAATTGCAAACTTTTTCCCTACAAGGAAATAATGAGCCTTTATAGGGTTCTTTTGGAAATCCCAAACTTTAGCATGACACCAGATATCCTACAGGCTGAGAAAGGAGAAAGTTTCCAAAGGAAATTGCTTAACATTTTCAACGATGGGAGGTCAAGAAAGGGAAAAGGGTGAGGTGACCTTCCAGAGAACAGTGCTGCTGGCACAGTGGGGACAGAAGCCAGATTACTGGGCCCAAGGAGGGACCCAGCAGCGGAGAGGCTCCAGACGGCCTGAGACCACTTCTGTAAGATGTCAGGGAAAGGAAGTAAACCAATGAGCCAGTAGCTAGGGGGCAAGAAAAACGTCTGTCAAGGTGGAGGAAAGTCTAGTGTGCTGAAGACAGAACAAAAGAAACCAGGGATGGAAAGCTTGCTTGGAGCTTGTTGCTACCAAGAGCAGAGGACTCCTGCCACCTGGGCCATTCAGACTGTTATTGAGAAATATTTTAATGGAAGACTCTGGCCCACATGTCCAGGATCCTCCCTTCTAGCTAGCCACATCTTTTAAGGCCCAGCTCAAGACCTGGTCTCTGTACATGTGCTCTCCCACTCCTTTAAATGACTTGTGCCGTCGCAGAGGGTCTGGACTCTAGGAGCAAGCCAGTTGCAATCATACGGCAGCAGCTAAAATGAAAACAGTGTCAGAATAATAAAAATAGGATAAACGTAAAGGTTTTGGAAAGTTTATAGCTTGGGTCCATGACATTGGGTAAACATCCAAGACAAGAAAACCTTTTTTAATTTTTTAATAAAGACTGACATTTTATTATATCAAAATTAAGAACTTTCTTTTTTTTTAGAAAGACAAATTTATGTATTTTTATTGTCCTTCTTTTCTCAATAAAAGGTAGCCTTCTAAAAAAAATTAAGAACTTTCTTACATCAAAAAAATTTTTAGGGCTTCCCTGGTGGCGCAGTGGTTGAGAGTCCGCCTGCCGATGCAGGGGACACGGGTTCGTGCCCTGGTCTGGGAGGATCCCACATGCCGTGGAGCGGCTGGGCCCCTGAGCCATGGCCGCTGAGCCTGCATGACCGGAGCCTGTGCTCCGCAACGGGAGAGGCCACAGCAGCGAGAGGCCTGCGTACCGCAAAAAAAAAAAAAAAAATTTTTTAAGAAAATGAAAAGACACTCTTAGTAAAGATATTGGCATAAACACAGCAAGGGATTAATAACAAGAACACATAAAGAACTCTCATAAATCAATAAGAAAAGCAAAAGAAAAATGGGCAAAGATTTTTACAGAAGAATACGCACCAACAAAACTACAAAGAGATGTTCAACCTCATTAACGATGAGGGACATGCAAATGAGATACCATTTTATGGAATTCAATTGGCAAAAACTTAGAAGTCTAACGTGTTAGAAAGACTTCGAAGCAACAGTATCTTTTATACGTAAGACAAGAAAACCTTGAATAATCAGAGTCCCTATTCTCCAAACTGAGATTGTTTTTAGCTTTTAGGAAAACTCCAACACACGCAGGGCCACTTAACATTGGCAGGGTCTGGGGCAAGAGCACAAATGCAGGCCCATCTACCATACACCTAATCTTTAAATGTGCTACATCAGGCCAATAAGTGTGGCTCACCCACACCCCTTTCATCCTAACCTGGGCTCTGTGAGGAGCCTGTGGGCTCACAGGAGCAATCAAGCTCCAGCCACACCCTGGAGGCCCAGGGATGTCCACATCAGCAACTCCTGAATGACTATGAAATACTGCCCACCTTCTCCAAGCAGGCTTCAGGCTGTTTGCACTGGGAATTTAGGGTCCTTCATACCAAGTGTGTTCCAGAAGGCCGAGGGGGCATATCCATTAACCCCTTGGCCCATCAGAAACTTTACCACGAGGGGTGTGGTGTCGCAAGAGGAGGACCAGCTTGTGTGCGGAGGCCAGGATCCTTCTCGCCTGAGTTTAACAAACATACTGGACACATTATCATTTTCCAGTTATATTTTATCACTGCATTCTCCCAGTCTGACTTTCAAATAACTCTTGGACAAGACTTTACAATAAGGCTTCCCACAATATTGACTGTAACAGCTCAAGCAGGCTGAACAGCCCAGAAAGAATGTTCCTGCTGAGCAAACTCAAACACAGCAGGCTTCGGTGCTCCAGTGAGAGGCCCCAAACGGGGTGTTCTCTGGTCCTATCCAGATAAAGCAAATTACAGATTATCTCCTGGCAAAGGAAAAGCAGAGTTTTTAAATACATTTGAGATGGAAATATAATCTTCTGACAGCTTCTGAAAGGGAGCAGTTTAGCCTGGGTTATTTAGATCAAACCCAAACCACTTCAGTTTACCCTACGTGGGGTAGGGAGCTGATGCCTTCTCCAGTCTTCTTCCCCAGGAACTAAAGCCTGGAGGAGGTGGCGTCTGACTCAAGAATACCTTGAAGGTGATGCTCTCAGGGGAATAACCCCACAAGGGGAGTTAGCACACCTGGCTCTTCTCTTCACCTGGCTGGTCAGTTGGGAGGTTGCTTCTTCTGGGCCTGTTGCCACCGCTGAGAATAAAAGGGCCAGCCTAGATGATTTAGAATTTTCCTTGGGGCAGGAGGGTCTGGGGAACCCTTGGGCAATTTGATCTTCTAGGAAGCCCTGCAGGGTGAACACAGCTCACCTGTACCCTGTTAACGTACTTGGAATATCTGGGATTCACCTGGCCCCGGGAGCGTCCTCCAGTTACAGGATGTACCATCCCAGGCTGGATAACCATCACTGGGGCGTATTTCCAGCTTGAGGTGCTCAGTCACTCTCTTTGAAGAGGCAAACGATTACTACTGCACCGAATTTGGGTCCCCAAATGACAGCAACATCATGTGTAGGGGAGAGCCACGACTGTTAACTGGTGCATTTAACCAATTAAATTCGGCTTTGTGTCTCAAAACAATTTGCTTCGTTATTAACCAAGCTGGAGGCAATGATGGAGGTGATATTCGGAGGCCTGATAGATTTCAAGATTTGAGTAAATTCTGAAGAAATTATTTACTTAGTATAGATGTGATTTCAAAGAAACTTCCTCAACTAGTAAACAAACAAACAAATAAATAAAATAAACCTTCAAGTTGAGCATTGGGCTGCAAATTTTGCTTGAAATAGCTGCCATTTTCTTAAACCTACAGCATAACAAGTACGGTAGAGTTGGGACTATGGTATTTGTTTTCCGGGGCTGTTGGGAGGATGAATGGGATACCCCAGATAAAAGGGTGCGTGGCCCCCCCTACCCCACCCCCAATCAGGCCGGTGAGGAGCCTGCTCAGAGCCTTCTGTCTCTGTCGGTCTGGCACAAAATAGGGCCTCAATAAATATTTACCAAGTGCATGAACGGTTGCCTGCTTTTCTCCTTTTGTTTAGTCACACTCTCCTTTTAAGCTCCTACAAAGAAACCCAGGGCCCTGCATGCTGCCAGTTCCACTAGGGTGTGGATGTAGAGGATGTAGAGGAAGGGGGATGAGAAATCAGTAAGGGAGGCCAGGGATCCGAAACGAGAGGGAGGAAGAGAAAGATGATTAGAGGCGCAGGGCCAACAAAGAGCCAGACGCAGGCGAACCCAAGCGCTCTGCACCCGGGACGGGCCCCAGGCGCGCCTCCAGCCCAGCGCAGTCCACGCCGCCGGCCTGCACCGGGCGAGGCGCCCCCAGCCCGCACCCGGCGCGGGTCAGTGGCCCCCGCCCCCGGGGCGGTGCCGGGAACACGCGGCGCCTCCGGCGGTCACGTGGGGGCCGCTCCGCCGGGCGGCGCTGCTGCTTCCCGATCGCACCCTCCCAGTGCCGGGGACGCGGCGTTCGTGCTCCCGCCGGAGCCTGGGGAAGCGGAGAGCAGGAGGCGGCCCGGCCCTGCGTCCACAGGATGCCCGCCGCGGAGCCGGGTGCCGCCGTCCTCGTGGAGCAGGCGGAGGCGAGGACGCTGCGGGCCGCGGGGCCGCGGCGGCAAGGGTAGCGGGGCTGGAGTTGGCCCCGAGGCGCCGAAGGCGGGCGGAGTGGGAGGAGGAGCGGCAGGCATCCTCCGCGGCGCGGCGGGCGGGCGGCGGCCCTGCTGCCCCGGCGCGCCCCTGGCCCGGGAGCCCGGAGAATGCGAGCTGCGCTCCCCGCCGGCCGCCGCCTCCCCCCGCGCCGTGCGCCCGGCGACCCCCGGAGCTGCTCGCGTCGCCGCCGCACCCCAGCTGCGGGCGCCCGGCCGCTGGCTGCGCTAGGACCCGCCGCCGCCGGTCGCCGAGGGCTGGTAGGAAGGGAGGAGCGGGAGCGAAAGGGCTCCGGAGACTGGCGCCCGCCGGGGCGCAGCGCGGCATGTAGCTGCGGGCTCCCGCGCGAGGGTGTCGGCCCGGCCCCGCCATGGCTGGGACGGACAGCGGGAACCTGAAGACGGTGAGGCTGTGGCGGGACGCCGCCCTACGCGCCAGGAAGCTGCGGAGCAACCTGCGCCAGCTCAGCCTCAGCGCGGCCGGGGGCTGCCCAGGGACCGACCAGCTCGACTCTCCCGACGCGCCCCAGCTTGTGCTGCCGGCCAACATCGGGGACATTGAGGTGCTGAACCTGGGGAACAACGGCCTGGAGGAGGTGCCCGACGGGCTGGGCTCGGCGCTGGGCAGCCTCCGCGTCCTGGTCCTGCGCCGGAACCGCTTCGCCCGGCTGCCCCCAGCGGTGGCCGAGCTGGGCCATCACCTAACCGAGCTGGACGTGAGCCACAACCGGCTGAGCGTCCTAAGCGCCGAGGTGGTGAGCGCCTTGCGCGAGCTGAGGAAGCTCAACCTCAGCCACAACCAGCTGCCCGCCCTGCCCGCCCAGCTGGGTGCGCTGGTCCACCTGGAGGAGCTGGATGTCAGCTTTAACCGCCTGGCGCATCTGCCCGACTCCCTCTCCTGTCTCTCCCGCCTGCGCACCCTCGACGTGGACCACAACCAGCTCACGGCTTTTCCGTGGCAGCTGCTGCAGCTGGCGGCCCTGGAGGAGCTCGACGTGTCCAGCAACCGGCTGCGGGGCCTACCTGAGGATATCAGTGCCCTGCGTGCCCTCAAGATCCTCTGGCTGAGCGGGACCGAGCTTGGCACCCTGCCCAGCGGCTTCTGCGAGCTGGCCAGCCTGGAGAGCCTCATGCTGGACAACAACGGGCTGCAGGCTCTGCCCGCCCAGTTCAGCCGCCTGCAGCGACTCAAGATGCTCAACCTCTCTTCCAACCTCTTGGAGGAGTTCCCTGCCGCGCTGCTGCCCCTGGCTGGTCTGGAGGAGCTCTACCTTAGTCGCAACCAGCTCACTTCCGTGCCGTCCCTGATCTCGGGCCTGGGCCGTCTTCTCACCCTGTGGCTGGATAATAACCGGCTCCGCTACCTGCCTGACTCCATCGTGGAGCTCACGGGCTTGGAGGAGCTGGTCCTGCAGGGGAACCAGATCGCTGTGCTGCCAGACAACTTTGGCCGGCTCTCCCGGGTGGGCCTGTGGAAGATCAGGGACAACCCGCTGATCCAGCCCCCCTACGAGGTCTGTATGAAGGGGATCCCCTACATCGCAGCTTACCAGAAGGAGCTGGCTCATTCCCAGCCGGCGGTCCAGCCCCGCCTCAAGCTGCTCCTGATGGGCCATAAAGCTGCAGGAAAGACCCTGCTCCGTCGCTGCCTGACCGAGGACAGAGTGGAGGGGAACCAAGGAGGAGGGGACAAGGAGAAGAGCCACCCGCCTTCACCTCCTCCCGTGAGCAAGGGCATCGAGGTGACCAGCTGGACAGCGGATGCCTCCCGGGGCCTGCGGTTCATCGTGTATGACTTAGCTGGGGATGACAGTTATGAGGTGATTCAGCCCTTCTTCCTCTCCCCGGGGGCCCTTTATGTGCTGGTGGTGAACTTGGCCACCTATGAGCCGCTCCGCTTTCCCACCACCGTGGGCTCCTTCCTGCATCGGGTAGGGGCCCGGGTGCCTCACGCCGTGGTGTGCGTTGTGGGCACGCACGCCGACCTCTGCGGGGAGCAGGAGCTGGAGGAGAAGTGTCTGGACATCCACCGCCAGATCGCCCTGCAGGAGAAGCATGACGCTGAGGGGCTGAGCCGGCTGGCCCAGGTGGTGGATGAGGCACTGGCCCGGGACTTTGAGCTCCGCTCCGCCAGCCCCCATGCAGCCTACTACGGTGTGTCCGACAAGAACCTTCGGCGGCGCAAGGCCCACTTTCAGTACCTGCTCAACCACCGGCTGCAGATCCTCTCCCCTGTGCTGCCCGTGAGCTGCAGGGACCCACGCCAGTTACAGCGCCTGCGGGACAAACTGCTCTCAGTGGCTGAGCACCGGGAAATCTTCCCCAACCTCCACAGAGTACTGCCTCGGTCCTGGCAGGTGCTGGAGGAGCTGCACTTCCAGCCCCCTCAGGCGCAGCGTCTCTGGCTCAGCTGGTGGGACTCGGCTCGCCTGGGCCTGCAGGCCGGCCTGACCGAGGACCGGCTGCAGAGCGCCCTCTCCTACCTGCACGAGAGCGGCAAGCTGCTCTACTTTGAGGACAGCCCGGCCCTCAAGGAGCACGTCTTCCACAACCTCTCCCGCCTCATCGACATCCTCAACGTCTTCTTCCAGAGGGATCCTTCCTTGCTGCTGCATAAGCTGCTTCTGGGGACCAGCGGCGAGGGCGAGGCTGAGAGCCGGGGTGGAAGCTCCCCGCTGATGGCGCCGCCCGCCCCAAGCCAGGATGCGCTCCGGGCCACCCAGCTCCATCATTATGTGGAAGGCTTTCTGCTGCATGGGCTCCTGCCGGCCCACGTCATCCGGCTGCTGCTGAAGCCTCACATCCAGGCTCAGCAGGACCTGCAGCTCCTGCTGGAGCTGCTGGAGAAGATGGGACTCTGTTACTGCCTCAACAAAGCCAAGGGCAAGCCTCTGAATGGGTCCACGGCCTGGTACAAGTTCCCGTGCTATGTGCAGAACGAGGTGCCCCACGCGGAGGCCTGGATTAACGGGACCAACCTGACCGGGCAGTCCTTTGTGGCTGAGCAGTTGCAGATTGAATATAGTTTTCCCTTCACCTTTCCACCCAGCTTGTTTGCACGCTACAGCGTCCAGATCAACAGCCATGTGGTGCACAGGTCGGATGGCAAACTTCAGATCTTTGCATACAGAGGGAAAGTCCCTGTGGTGGTGAGTTACAGACCTGCCAAGGGGGTCCTGCAGCCGGACACCCTGTCCATTGCCAGCCACGCATCCTTACCGAACATATGGACGGCATGGCAAGCCATAACCCCCTTAGTAGAGGAACTGAATGTCCTACTTCAGGAATGGCCTGGACTGCACTACACTGTGCACATCCTCTGTTCTAAGTGCCTTAAGAGAGGGTCACCCAATCCACACGCTTTCCCAGGTAAGAGGGGAGAGGGATGTGTCTCCCGTGCCGTATGTTTTAAGATGCATTTTGGGAAGATACTTGTTTCTCCTTTGGCAGACTGTTTGCTTAAGCTCACTGGCTCCCCAGGAAAGCTTTTCAAGGAAAATGGGGATTTGGGGACAAGCAAAAGGCAGTTAAGTATGTTAGCTATATGAATATAGTCCCCAGTATCATGTAGCATACTCTTCTAATAGAAAGACTCAAACTTCCAAAGTGGGTTCCAGTCAGAACATTTCGGATCTCCGTTTCCCTCTTCCCAATTCAGCCCGCCTTTCCTGGAAGGAAATTTCAGATGGTTGAACAGAAGATGAGCGGTGTCTGTTGCCGAGCCCTGGGCTATAATGCTTATTAGACACGTGTCGAAGGGGTGCTCTGAGTTTGACATGTCTAGTCTCATATTCTTTTGTTTAAGTTCAGAGTGTGACCATAATGGAGAAATTATTGCTCCTTTTTCTTAAGAAATTCCAGAGAAGAATGTTTCGTAATCGGGGTGAATGATGGATTAGTAAAGATAAAAGTGTCGGTCTGTAAGGCATGACTCAATCCTGGGATCACGGTTTCACCCACTGCACTCTAGGGCATGAAAGAGAGATTACTGAAATCTCTAAGGGGAGTTTTTTGGGTATTTCTTGGTAATTTTGTGCTTTACCAACATCTTAAGGCCCGGTTTTTGGTTAAGTGTTAGAGAGTGGAGCTTTATGGAGGTGCTTTGTAAGAGATGGAAGGGACAAGAAACTGACACGAGTTTTTGGGTTTTGTTTTGTATTTCCTCTTTTGGGGAGTGTTTTCCAGCAGACTTTTTTTTTTTTTTTTAAACTGTTTCAGGTGAGTGGGAGAATTCCAGGACTGGTAGGATTTTTCAAGCCTGGTTAATTGGTATCTAAGTGTCTATTTGGGAATGGGTCCATTTCTTCACCCTTTGGAACTCTTCTCTAAACAGCTCTGATTTTTGTGAAGCAGGCTTAGTTAACATTCCAAGTGTCCTAAGGACAAACCCAATAATAGCATCACTACCAGTTTCTCCCCTCGGTCCCCCACCTCTGGGTACATTGAGGGGGGTAATGAAATGGAAGACTGTATGCCACTGTCATCTTTGTCCTAGTCTGAATGCTGCTCGTAATAGTATCGGGAAGGAATTGGACACCAATATTTCCGAAGGTAACATCTCCCCGTTGCCCTAGATCTGGGCTGAGTTTAATTCATCAGCTGAAAAAAGCCACCATATCCAGTTACCAGTCAATTAAGCCGTCCATTCTGTATGATTATCTGGTGTCTCGTCACAGTTCGTGACTTGGTAGCCCTTTCAGTTTGTTTTATATTTGCCATTGTCTTTATTCATGAAAGCAAAATTCTTCTCCATTGTGCCACTAAATTGAAGAAAGTGGTTGAGAATTACATATTCACAGAGCATATTATTGAAGGAGCTACTTAAAGCCAGTTCTTAACACAAAGATGGAGCATTAATAAAACTGGTGTTATTAACAACAAAGGGGAACACATAGGTTATTGAACAAGTAAGGATCTGTGCAGAGGAATTCGAAGAACTTTGAAGAGTAAACAATGAGGCTGATTTTTTTTTTCTAATCTCAGCTCTTTATTTTTTAACAGTCATAAATTCCACAAACAAGCTGTCTCCAGGTGCAGAGACAACCCCATTCTCTTGTTATTGTTTTGCCTTTTTGTCTTTCAAGGAGGTCACCTGGTTTGCGATCCAGGCTATAGGGAAGAGGTGGCTTTTTCAACGTAAAAAGCAATTAAATGATTGAAAATTGTCATATTATCTTATGTAGTGAGTAGGAATAACTCATCAGCTGTTTTTATAATACGGACTGTAGGTTTCTGTCTTGTTCATGGTCAGAGAAAGAAATTATCTTTTTTGCTTCGTTCAGGATTGATTTCTGTCAAAAGCAGCAGAGGGTACAGAGTAGCGGGAAAAGATTATAGTATATTTATTACATTAAGAAGACAAAGAGAAAACCACATTTTCCTCTTTCATAATTTTCTGTGATAGCCATCATTTGTTAGTATTTGTCACAATTCTGAAAGATTTGAGAAGAGCTAAAATAATGAAAAGCTAGGAGGTGATGTAGGAACAAACATAATGTTCGGTGTTCAGTTAGTGAGGGCATACATTTAAAAATACGCTCAATGAGTCCCTGGATTACTAAAATATATTGTAACTCAGCAGAAACCTTTGAATCTCTTGGTAGCGCCGTATGTTTTAAGATGCATTTTGGGAAGATACTTGTTTCTCCTTTGGCAGACTGTTTGCTTAAGCTCACTGGCTCCCCAGGAAAGCTTTTCAAGGAAAATGGGGATTTGGGGACAAGCAAAAGGCAGTTAAGTATGTTAGCTATATGAATATAGTCCCCAGTATCATGTAGCATACTCTTCTAATAGAAAGACTCAAACTTCCAAAGTGGGTTCCAGTCAGAACATTTCGGATCTCCGTTTCCCTCTTCCCAATTCAGCCCGCCTTTCCTGGAAGGAAATTTCAGATGGTTGAACAGAAGATGAGCGGTGTCTGTTGCCGAGCCCTGGGCTATAATGCTTATTAGACACGTGTCGAAGGGGTGCTCTGAGTTTGACATGTCTAGTCTCATATTCTTTTGTTTAAGTTCAGAGTGTGACCATAATGGAGAAATTATTGCTCCTTTTTCTTAAGAAATTCCAGAGAAGAATGTTTCGTAATCGGGGTGAATGATGGATTAGTAAAGATAAAAGTGTCGGTCTGTAAGGCATGACTCAATCCTGGGATCACGGTTTCACCCACTGCACTCTAGGGCATGAAAGAGAGATTACTGAAATCTCTAAGGGGAGTTTTTTGGGTATTTCTTGGTAATTTTGTGCTTTACCAACATCTTAAGGCCCGGTTTTTGGTTAAGTGTTAGAGAGTGGAGCTTTATGGAGGTGCTTTGTAAGAGATGGAAGGGACAAGAAACTGACACGAGTTTTTGGGTTTTGTTTTGTTTTTCCTCTTTTGGGGAGTGTTTTCCAGCAGACTTTTTTTTTTTTTTTTAAACTGTTTCAGGTGACTGGGAGAATTCCAGGACTGGTAGGATTTTTCAAGCCTGGTTAATTGGTATCTAAGTGTCTATTTGGGAACGGGTCCATTTCTTCACCCTTTGGAACTCTTCTCTAAACAGCTCTGATTTTTGTGAAGCAGGCTTAGTTAACATTCCAGGTGTCCTAAGGACAAACCCAATAATAGCATCACTACCAGTTTCTCCCCTCGGTCCCCCACCTCTGGGTACATTGAGGGGGGTAATGAAATGGAAGACTGTATGCCACTGTCATCTTTGTCCTAGTCTGAATGCTGCTCGTAATAGTATCGGGAAGGAATTGGACACCAATATTTCCGAAGGTAACATCTCCCCGTTGCCCTAGATCTGGGCTGAGTTTAATTCATCAGCTGAAAAAAGCCACCATATCCAGTTACCAGTCAATTAAGCCGTCCATTCTGTATGATTATCTGGTGTCTCGTCACAGTTCGTGACTTGGTAGCCCTTTCAGTTTGTTTTATATTTGCCATTGTCTTTATTCATGAAAGCAAAATTCTTCTCTATTGTGCCACTAAATTGAAGAAAGTGGTTGAGAATTACATATTCACAGAGCATATTATTGAAGGAGCTACTTAAAGCCAGTTCTTAACACAAAGATGGAGCATTAATAAAACTGGTGTTATTAACAACAAAGGGGAACACATAGGTTATTGAACAAGTAAGGATCTGTGCAGAGGAATTCGAAGAACTTTGAAGAGTAAACAATGAGGCTGATTTTTTTTTTCTAATCTCAGCTCTTTATTTTTTAACAGTCATAAATTCCACAAACAAGCTGTCTCCAGGTGCAGAGACAACCCCATTCTCTTGTTATTGTTTTGCCTTTTTGTCTTTCAAGGAGGTCACCTGGTTTGCGATCCAGGCTATAGGGAAGAGGTGGCTTTTTCAACGTAAAAAGCAATTAAATGATTGAAAATTGTCATATTATCTTATGTAGTGAGTAGGAATAACTCATCAGCTGTTTTTATAATACGGACTGTAGGTTTCTGTCTTGTTCATGGTCAGAGAAAGAAATTATCTTTTTTGCTTCGTTCAGGATTGATTTCTGTCAAAAGCAGCAGAGGGTACAGAGTAGCGGGAAAAGATTATAGTATATTTATTACATTAAGAAGACAAAGAGAAAACCACATTTTCCTCTTTCATAATTTTCTGTGATAGCCATCATTTGTTAGTATTTGTCACAATTCTGAAAGATTTGAGAAGAGCTAAAATAATGAAAAGCTAGGAGGTGATGTAGGAACAAACATAACGTTCGGTGTTCAGTTAGTGAGGGCATACATTTAAAAATACGCTCAATGAGTCCCTGGATTACTAAAATATATTGTAACTCAGCAGAAACCTTTGAATCTCTTGGTAGCCTTTTGTTTCTTTAAGAAGTCATTTTGCTTTTTAGAGACATGAAAAAAGTTGGTAGCCTTTTGTTTCTTTAAGAAGTCATTTTGCTTTTTAGAGACATGAAAAAAGTTGGTTACTTAGTTTTACATTTTATTAAAGTGTCAGGTTATCTTGTAAATTAGCAATTTTATATACAATGGTGAAAAAACACTGTTAAATTTGTTTCAGCTTCAAGACATTAAGATTAAATAGGAAATTAAAGTGTCTCCTTTGATTTTATATGGAAGAAACAAAGTTGCATTATTATCTTAAAAAGTGTGTGTGTGTGTGTGTGTGTGTGAAAAGCCCATTTTGGCCCTGTCCCTGTGGATGGGACATTGAATTTTCTGGCCTGAGCTGCACTGAGGTAGTTGGCCTAGGGAAGTATAACGCTAGATTTCTCTTTTCTTATTTTGATTTACAAAAGAAATGCAATGTTTTGGAAAATCCTTAGTCACCAGGCCACTTGTTTTGAAAAGTTCTTGTAAAAAAGATCTAAGCACTGTGTCAGAGAGGTCACCTGTTTGTTTCATTTGAGATAAATGGGTTGGGTGATAAGAGAGGCTTTCGGAAACTCAAAGAAGGCCCATGATGCAGCCTACATGTCAGGTGTGAGTCTTTATTACTTTCTGCAACTTTACTGCCAGCACCTGACAGCCAGGTTGCCTCCTCCGTAACGAGGGAACTCTGTGGAATGTTCTTGGCCTTGAGTAAGTTTCTTCTTGCGGGATATTTATCTGTGCTCTCGTTCTTTTCCACCAACATGACATCTAAACCAGGAGAGCTGACTGCTCCTGAGGTTGGATAATGTGTGGCCTACGGATGTAAGATGTGGAGGTAAGGACGGAGGTCCACAGCGAGATTCTAGTGCTTTGCTATTTCAGTATTTGAAAGGATGCTGTGTGTTTTTAAATTGGAAGAGTGCATCTTGGTGAGTTGAACTTGGGCCGTGTGTGATTTTTCATGAAATAGCCTACTCTCCAAATTATTCAAGGTCACTCTTAAGAATAATTAGAAAGCAACCCAGAGCAGTAGGCAGAGAATTGGTAGATGATCTTTTATATATTTGATCCCTTTCATTCACTCAGTTGCTCAGCACCCTGCCGCTTCTCCCTAGTCAAGTGCCTTTTGTCCTTGTTTAATTTCTTACACACTCTGTACCTCTCTGAAGCCCTCAGTGAATTTTGCCTTGTTCTGTAGCTGTTTGTGTAGGTCATAATATCTCTTTGATTAGCTTGTTCACTTGCTTCCTCCAAGCAGGAAACATGCCTGAGGCTTTGTGGCTTCTGTAAGAGCCTCTCAAGTGTCTGCTGGATGATTGGTCTTTGTGAGAAATCTCTTTTTTGTTTTCTTTGATAGTCACATACTCTGTCAGATTCCCAGGTGGTACTCTTGCAGTCATCTCGCTTTGTCCTGTGTCCCAGCTTCCCTCCCCCACACTTGTCCCTCTGGTGTCCTCACCGTCACTATATTACTGGCCTTGCCCTTGAATGGGCCCTTCACTTTGACCACTGAAGCAAAGCAAAATTCTTGCCTTGTTCTATCTCAGTTTTAGAGTTCCTGGAATTTGAGCATGACCTAGTTGCTTAGATTGAATTAGTCATTGTTTTTAATTTTGCAAAGGTTATTAAATATCTTTCTGGTTTGGCTTTATTAATACTGACGCTGCTCGGCTTTTGTTTTTGTGGAGAGTCCTCTTTGAACTCTCTTGGGCTTTGTTTCATAGAAACATCAAAACCATCATGCAGTGGATGAAAGAAACTCCCTGCATAACAGAATTCAAAGACTTGAAAGGCCTTTGGAGTGTTCAAATTATTTTGAATATTAGGTGCCTCTTCTTTAAACTCTAGAATAAACTCTCAAGTCCATCCCTGCACAAGTTTAGAATTTCCTAGAGAAAGTATTTTTTAATTTGTTAACAGACATTTTGTGTCGTCCTCTGCCACCTGCTCGTCTCATCCTCCAGGAAACCTCACCTATTTTAGTTCTTACTCATTTTCTTCATCTGAACACCTAGAACACGTATAGGGTGTACTTCACAGGGTTGTTTTGAGCATTAGGTGAGAGACTGTGTCGGGGAAAGCAGTTACCCCCCCCCCCTCCGCCGTGGTGTCTGGAGGAAGTGAGGGTGGGAATGGCTGATATGGGAGTGAACATTTCTGTTTGATTTCTCCCTTCACCCACCAACTTGCTTCTCTCCGTGGGAGTCTGTTTTGATTAAGGATCTGACTATCCATCCATCAGGGAGCTTTTTTTTTTAAAACGCAGGGGACCAGTAGTGCTGGTCTCATCTCTTGCCCTCTCTTGTCTGCTGCAGCCGAGGCCCTTCGGGGCTGGAGAGGAGAGTTGTTTGTGTTTCAGGCTCTGCTTGGGGCAGGCCCAGCCAGGTCTCTGTTCCCCTGGTTCAGCTGCTCTCACTGCAAAACCAGGTGTCAGGTTGCTGTCAGGTTTACTGTCCTCTGGGGGCCGGCTACCTTCACTTCAGTGGGGAGGGCTGTGGAGGCCTCATTTTGGCCTGCCTTCCACAAACCTGCTCTGGCACTCGTGAAGCTGACCCTCGGATCCCCATTTAGTGCCTCGAGTCTGCATGGCCTGTAGAACCCAGAGTGATTGACAGACATCTCAGCCAGCCACAGCATACGTACGATGACATGTCTTTCTTGAACCACCAAGACCCCCTCCGTGAAAGGTGTGGCAGTTTGGTCTGCGGTTGTACCCTCACTTCTCTGAGTTCTGATGTCTCATGTGATGGCACACCGCGCCCTGGACGGTGCCTGGCACAGGGCCGAGCAGGTAGAAGGGATTCAAAGCGGATTGGTTATTTTTCAAGAGCTCAAAAAATTCTAGTGTTTCTTAATTGATTCCTTGGCAGAGTGGTGTTTTTTAGGTTGCTTGTGATGTTTTTTATCTCAAAGTGTGTACTTTTTTTTTTTTTTTTGTGGTACGCGGGCCTCTCACTGTTGTGGCCTCTCCCGTTGCGGAGCACAGGCTCCGGACGCGCAGGCTCAGTGGCCATGGCTCACGGGCCTAGCCGCTCCGCGGCATGTGGGATCTTCCCGGACCGGGGCACGAACCCGTGTCCCCTGCATCGGCAGGCGGACTCTCAACCACTGCGCCACCAGGGAAGCCCTCAAAAGTGTGTACTTTAAGAGAAGCATGTATAATTTTCCCATGGGATTTTTCTGCCACATCAATCCCTGCCCTCTGTGTACATCCTCCTGACTCTTACAGAGATGGGGGAGGAGTGGGCGACGGGCAGCTTATCAGGATGAAGGTGAGTGAAGGGTGGAAGTTGGCTACAGAAAGCTTCCACCACCTGACATCACAGTCGCTCTCCTTGAGGCAGTGGGCACTCCCCTCCCTCCTGTCTCATAGCTCTTTTTTTCTTTCTTTTTTCTTTTATTTTTTTGGGAATTTTTGAATTTTTTTTATACAGCAGGTTCTCATTTGTTATCCATTTTATACATATTAGTGTGTACATGTCAATCCCAATCTCCCAATTCATCACACCATACCCGCCTACCCCCCGCCCCCATTGTCCACTTTCACCGCTTGGTGTCCATAGGTTTGTTCTCTACATCTG